GTGAGTCTCTCAGACTTTCCTTATATTTGATGACCTTGGCAGTTTTGAGAAGTCCTGGGATTTTATAGAGTGTCCCACCATTAGTATTTGTCTGATTTTTAAAAACGTTTTAAAATTTTTTTCATGTCTATATTGGAGTTGCATGTTTTTGAAAAGAAGACCACAAAAGTAAAGTACAATTTTTATAACAAGGGTACTGCTATGGACTGAATAGTTTCCCCTAAAATTTATGCGTTGATACCCTAATCCCAGGTGTAGTAGTATTTGGAGGTGGGACTTTTAAGAAAGGTAATTAAAGTTTAGATTAGGCTCATAACAGTGGAGCCTCCAGAATGGGATCAGTGTCCTTATAAGAAGAGGACACTTACCAGTATCCTTATAAGAAGAGGACACCAGTGCCTCGTAACTCTCCACTCTAAGAGAACATAGTGAAAGTAATGTGAAATCCACTTGCAAACCAGGGAAAAGGCCCTCACAAGGAACCAAATATGTCAGCATCTTGATCTTGGACTTTGCAGCCTCCAGTAATGTGTTATGTAAGCCACCTAGGCTTTGGTATTTTGTTATAGCATCCTGTTATTGTTTGGATATGGTTTGCTTGGCCCCACCAAATTTTATGTAGAAATTTGACCTTTGACATTGGCGGTGTGGCATGATGGGAGGTGTGTGGGTCATAGGAGTGGATCCTATATGAATAGCTTGGTGCCATTAGCATGATGGTGAGTGAGTTCCTACTCAATTCCCAGAATTGGTTGCTGAAAAGAGCCTAACATCTTCTCCTCTGTCTCTGTTTCTCACTCTCACCATGTAATCTCTGTGTACATCTGCCCCATTGGCTTTTGCCATGAGTGGAAGCATTCTGAGGCTCCTCCCAGATGCAGATAGAGAACACCATGCTTCTTGTACAGCCTGAACAATAGTGAGCCAAACAAACTACTTTTCTTTATAAGTTACCCAGCTTCAGGTATTCTTTTATAGCAACACAAATAGACTGAGACACAGCCAAAGAGACTAAAAGAGGTGCATACTAACAAGATAATTAATCACTATCAATGTTAAGTTTGATCACCTGGATGAGGAAGTGTTGGTCAGCTTTCTTTACCATAAAAGTTCTTTCTGTTCCTCTTTCCATGCTGTACTCTTTGCAAGGAAGTTTACTCTGTGACACCTACCTCAAGGTTGAAATATCTATATATATTATTTGAAATTCTTCTTCACAAGATATTTATCTATTCTCCATTTTTTCAAATCTATTCTCCAAATTTTGAAATAATTTGTTGACTTTATTATGGACTAATGGAAGTTTTATTTTAATATTTATAATGGCACAATTTTGAAAATGCTTTAAATGTTCATTTCTAGTGATTAGATAAAATAGAAAATTTCATACAATGGATTAATATGGAGCACATAACATAATAATGTTTATGTATTTATTGACATAGAAAAATATCCATATCCAGGCTGGGTACTGTGGCTCACAACTGTGATCCCAGCACTTGGGGAGGCTGAGGTGGGTGGATCATCTGAGGTCAAGAATTTGAGAGCAGCCTGGCCAACATGGCAAAACCCCATCTCTGCCAAAAATACAAAAATTAGCCAGGCACAGTGGCATGTCCCTGTAGTGCCAGCTACTTGGACTCTGAGGCAGGAGAAGCGCTTGAACCTGGAAGGTGAAGTTTGCAGTGAGCTGAAATCACAGCACTGCACTCCTGCCTGGACAACAAAGCAAGACTCCATCTCAAAAAAAGGAAAATATCTGTATCTACTTCTAAAAAAAGCAAGATAACTATTCATAATACAGTTGTATTTTTACAAAAAAGTATGTAAATTAGAGAGGTTTTTTTGAATAAATTTTTAAAAGTCTGACTTAAAAACATAACTACATGTTAAAAGTGATTATATCCAGGTACTGGAATTATGGTTGTGATTTTCATTTTCTATATTATATAGTTCTAATTATTTTCTTATCTTTTTTTCATTTTAGTTTACAGTGAACATTGTGTCCCATTTTTCAGCCCTCATTCCCCTTTCAGAGACCTGTGTTTACTATTTCTATCTTTACGTACATGTGACCCCTTGTTTTGCTCCCACTTATAAGTGAGAACAGGTGGTATTTAACTTTTGGTTTCTGAGTTATTTCACTCAGAATAATGGCCTCCAGCTCCATCCATGTTGCTGCAAACGTGATGATTTTATTTTTTTTATGGCTGCATGGGATTCCATCGTGCACATACACCACATTTTTAATCCAATCAACCATTGATGGATTAGTGTTAGGTTGAATCCATGCCTTTGCTACTGTGAATAGTGCTGCAATGAACATAAGAGTGCAGGTGTCTTTTTTAAATAATGATTTTTTGTTGGGTATTTTTCATACTGAATATATATTAATGAAGTAATTATTCATTGTGTTTCATCATTACAATTTTTCCATGTTAAATTCTTATTTTAAATGAGCATCATTATCCACCTTTGAGTGCACAGTTTTATTTTCTCCTTGCATATTGCATAGTTGCAAGCTTTCTGCTCATTCCAGGTCTTTTGAAATGGATCTGGCCCACCCATGAAATAGAAAGACCTATCACTGTTATGTGTAATGAGTGCTATAGTCTCTGCTTACACATCTCCCTTTGTGATATAAAATCTTATGAGAGATATCACAATCATCTTTATTGCTTCATAGATGAAGTTTCTGAGACTTCTAAAACTGACAATTTCCACAGTTAGTAAAGGAAAGAGTCAAGTTTCAAACCAGGAGGTATTTAAATCCAAAGTTCATCTTTTTAATCATTGTATCCCATATGGTAGCACTTGCTTCTAGAAATGTTATACAATAATCCTTCCATATCTACAGGTTCCACATTTAAGGATTCAACCAACCACAGCTCAAAAATATTCATAAAAATAATAAAATAAAAATACAGTCTAGCAATTATTTACATAGCATTTATACTCTATTAGGTATGATAAGTCATATATGGAAGAATGTGGATAGGTTATGTGCAAATATTATGCTATTTTATATAAGGGATGTAAGCCTCTGAGGTTATTAGTATCTTGGTGAGTTGGGGGTATCCTGGAACCAATCTCCGTAGATACATAGGGATTACTGTATAAGACTGCCCTTCACTCACCCATTTATTGCCACCTACTTTCTCTTACTCACATTCTCCTAGGGTCTTTAACTCATAGGCTGTAACCCTTATGCCAAATATTCTCCTTGAGTCTATCTGATAACTCATCCAAAACACCCATCATTGGCTTTTCCTTTAAATCTCAAACATGCTCATAATAATGAACTGCCTTCTGATTCCACTGGACTAAAGTTATGAGCTGGATGATATTTGTAACAAGCTTGGACAGTAGAAGGCCTGTATTCTTGTAAGTCAAATTCATAAAGGCAGTGTCTGTTCCATTCATTCACTGTATTTGAAATGCATGTAGGGTTTTTCATTAGGTTTTAATATTGATTCTGCAGAAAGGGAAAATATACACCCTCCTTTGAGAAGAAAAATCTTTTTTTTTTAATGAGTTGTCCTTCAAGAAAGAATTCTGTTTTAATTAAAGGCTAAGTACGAAGTAATTACTCATTTCTTTTGTTTGACCAGGTTTAGTAAATTGTGCACCTGAATATTTTAAATACATTATGATCACAGCCCTTGATATCTAGTGCAGTTGGGCCAGGAGCAAAGCTGTTAACTAAGGCTGCGTTGTTTAATACTCTTCTATTTCACTGAGGGTTGGGACTCGTTTTTCTGACCACTGAGATACTAGGAGGTATGTATCTCACTAACATTTATAGCTCTTATATTTAACTTCTTGCCAAAAAAGCATTTTAAGTTTCAATGCTCTTCAGTAGTTGTGACATACGTTTTGGGCAAGTGCATGAAATCATAAAACATGGCTACTATAGGAGATAGGAAATTTCAAAAATGAAATCTGTGTTCATTACTTAAAGTGTAAATGAGTTCACAAGGATATTGATGTTCTTTCTTAAGCTTTCTACTGCCTTTGACCTCTTTGGGATTTTTTTTTTTTTTTTTTTTCTTTTTCTCTGTCACAATAACTCAGTGCTCTATTACAAATTATAAAATACAAAACCCAATGTTATATCTAATTTTGAGATGTTTTATTTATTTTCCCAGCTGTAGTGGTTCTAAGAATCTTGTATTCTTGAAAATGCTACCAATTGTGATGAGTCTGCTATCATTTTATTCTGACCAAACCCCATTCTTCAGCCTGTCAATGTTTTAAAGAAGACGGGGGTACATTTGAACAATCTTTTGTCTTATTGATTTATTTTTGTAATAAATCAGGCTGTCACTCTAAACAAATTGCCTTACTCAGATTATGCTTTCATTGTAGACACAGACATTTTTTCAAGTTCTTTGAAATGTGTTTAATTGTTACAAACAATAAGGGTAACTATTAGGCAAGGTTCAGATTGCTTCTCATTTGAAGTTTCCATCAGTTGAAATCTAAATGGGTTTAAATTTGGTAATAGAATGTTTATAAATGCTTATAAAGAAGTTTACCAACACAAAAACAAGCAAACACAAGCCATCAAGTCTTTTAGAAGAAATGCATAATAATACTGAAATCATAACAATTAAATGTTTAACACTATATAGAAAGAACGTATGGTATAAGAAATATAATAAATACATTTGGTCTTTTTTGTCACCAGTTCTTAGTACGGGGCTCCGAAAACACTAGGAAAAGATACAGGAAACACTAGAAAAGATAAAGGAGTATCTTTTCTTCTTTTCTTACTCATAGCAAGCATCTTTTGATCCCATCTAAGTTTATGTTAATATGGTGACATAGGGTAGAGTTCCTAGACAGCCCTAAGATGGGGCGGATCACCAGAAAGACCAGGTAATTCAAGGGTTAAAACCTTCAGCCCTGCCCCATGACTTCCAGGAAGAGGATGGAGAGTGGAAGATTAAGCTCTATGACGACTCTTGAGCTACAAGATTCCAGGAGCTTCTGGATAGGTGACCACATCAAGGTGCTAGGAGGGAGCATCACACCCCCTCCCCCATCGACCAAGACTTGCCCATGAATCTCTTCTGCATGTCTGTTCCTGAGTTGTATCCTTTGTAGTAATCCAGTCAATTTAAGAGAAGTGTTTTCCTGAGCTCTGTGAGTCATTCTAGCAAACTATTGAACAGGAGGAGGGTTTCATAGTAACTCTGGATTTATAGCCAGTCTTTCAGATGTATGGGAGGTTCAAACGTGCAACGGCATCAGAAATGAGGACAGTCTTGCGGGACTGAGCCCTTTTACTTATGGGATCTGATGCTAATGCCAGGTAGTTAGCGTTAAAATTCAATTAAACTGTCGGACATCCAGCAAGGGCCCAGGAAGCTGGAGAATCACTTGGTGTGTTAAAAAAAAAAAAAAACAAAAAAAAAAAAACAAAAAAAAAAAACACATTTGCTATCGGAAGCGGCGTACTGAGAGTGGCAGGAGGCAGCCAAATGCTTAGGCAGATAGGGGCAGGTCCCTAGTGAAACCCCACCTCCAACTGAATACCAACCCGTAAAGCCTGAAAGCTAAGCTACACGTTAAATCCTCAGACAGAATTGAGAACTTGTCTTCCTGTTTGGCGTGCTTTCCTCTGATTGGTCCCCACCCTTCACCTGTGGTATATGTACCTAGCTTTCCCAATTGGCTTTTCTACACTGTTTGCCATGCCCACCTTTGATGGTGTCTTTGCTTTAACCTTGTGTTCATACTCACAAACCAGTCAGCATGCACTTTACATTCTAGAGTCCATAAAAGGCCAGGACCCAGACGCACGGGGGTCTTTCACACCTTCAGGTAAAGGGACCATCCCTGCATCCCCTCTTCACTGAAAGCTGTTTCATCACTCCATAAAATTCTTCTCCATCCTCCTTACCCTTCAATGTCTAGCATATTCTCATTCCTCTTGGGCACAGTACAAGAGCTCAGGAACTGCTGAATGGGGGTACAAGTTATAACACAGGCAAGCTGAGGCATGCCAGCATGGCCTAAGGAGACCTGGACGGGGCTTCTTCAGCCAAGCACCCTGCTTGTAAAGTGTAGAAGAAGAAAAATCCTGCATGAGTTTGTGTAGAGAAACAGCATTTTCTCTGAGTGTGTGAATGTTAAATTGCAAAATGGTATGAATAGCACATCAGAAGGTATTTAGTTAGCCAGCATCAAATAATCTATTAAGCTGCTGTGGTTCAGAGCTAAGCTAAGAACTTTGACATTCATCTCATTTAATCCTCATGACAACTAAGGGAGGTAAGTATTACTATCATCATTTTACAAATAAGAAAACTGGAGCTTAAAGTCGTTCTGTGTAAAAAATGGATAAAAACATTAAGGAAACAGACCCAAGCAGATAACATCAAGAAAAAAGAACTTCTTAGACAAAGATTTCTAAACGTCTAGAAAAGGTGATAGTCTTTTTTTTTCATGGAGGAGATTTTATCATCACAAATTTTGTTTTCTTTTTAAAAGTATTTATTAAAGCCTGTAATCTTATGCCTATACCATATGCCAGGGACTACTCTATTATTATTATATTAGAGACAGATTCTTGCTATGTTGCCCAGGCTAGAGTGCCATGAATGTTCCTAGTTGTGGTCATAGCTCACTGCAGCCGCAAACTCCTGGACGCAAGTGATCTTTCCGCCTCAGTCACCCAAGCGGCTGAGACTATAGCCATGCACCAGACCATCACAAATTTTAACAGGTAGAAATAAGCAATTACTGTTTTACAAAACAACTCTTCCAAGAGGTAAAGATCACAAGACTCTATGAAGTTTCCTCAAAAGCCAGTGCTGTGATTCTGCCTCCAATCTAGGACCACATGTGGCCCCAAGATGTTTAAAAACAAATGAATCATATCATTGAGTAAGAAGTCTCATTGATTATAATATTTTTAACACTCCAATGCATGTCACTTTGGGTCCCTTCCTCTGGACCCACTGTCACATAATTACTCTGCTGAAGTTTTTTCTATTTGTGCTGTGACTTCAGGGAATGAAAATTAATGAAGTAGAAATACATTGATGGCTATGGTTAGTGAAGAGGTCAAATGAACTTCTCCTAGCTCTGCACTTTGCAGCCACAGAAGGCAGAGACTCCACCTCAAAGATTTCTGCTAAAGAGTTCTGCACCACAGGAAGTGAAATTATGTGGTTCTTTTGGAGATGTTAGGGCCAGAAGGAAACATAAAAATTATCTTCATCCATTATGTACAAATGAGTTTTCTATTTAAAATAGTCAATCAAGAGAGTTAAGGAGAGTATGATAGAGTTGGCTAGCATAAATATATCTCTCAAGGGTATAATTTTTCCAAGAATTACATTTAGGGCTGCCAGATTTAGCCAATAAAACTACAAGATGCCCAGCTAACTTGAAATTTCAGATAAACAGTGAATTTTTTTAGCATAAGTATGCCCACAAAATTGCATGAGGAATACTTATATTTTAAAAATAAATAAATAAATGTTGTTTATCTAAAGTTGAATTCAACAAGGATTCTGTATTTTAATTTTTTAACACTACTAGAAAATGTATCGAGCAGAGGACATTTTCAAAATAAGGAAAATAAGATGATGGTTCAATAACTTCAGGAAGAAGAATGGATTTTTCTGGGCCAAAGCACATTAGGTATGGATGGTAGAATTTCCTGAAAATAAGGGCAAGTTGGCTAGCTGCTTTCCAGTTCTGTAGAGATAAATGCAGAAGATCCCATAAATGCTATTGCCTTTCCAGAAATACATAGGTTCACATATCACATTCATTTCAACTCCTGGATTTTCTAACCTTCGCTACTGTAAGGCATTGTTTTGGTAAGTGTTCTTATGTATACATAAGCTCTGTTTTGGAGACCTTTTAAAACTTAGAAATTAAATAAGATTCCTGATTTTCTGTGCATTGTTGTGTCATTGGCATTTTATATTGTTGGCAGTTGAAAAATGAAAAAAAAAAGGGCAAGTTTTCAAAAAACTCAATGAAGCTAGTAACTTTATACATTTAAGTTAATGAGAATAGGGCTCAGTAAGTTACCCCAGCTAGAAATGAAACAAGGGCTATTTAGTCTCATGCATCCAAACTTATTTCCCATGCCCACCTTCATTTTTTTCATTGATTAAAAAAATATGTAATACAGAAAGCAGGCCAAAACTTTGTACATTCCGTGGGATTTGTGAGTTTCTCTGAAACATTTGTAATCATGTGTCAATAGGCAGAAAACTAAGGTGGTTTGTTATAATAATCTATGTAGAGAATTCCCATTTTATGCCTCACAGGTCAACAAAGCATTTAGCAAGTGTTCTGGTGAATAAGGTGCTAAAATGGAACTAGGATCCCCAAATCGCATCCCCCAGCAGCATGGTTTTGTGACCCTTATGTGTTCCCTCTAGCAAAGCCTCCGAGCATCTCTACCTTATAGTTTGAGGTTTTCACAATTAACAACATCTGCTTTGTTTTTAGAATGCAATTCTACTTCAGATGGTACTCATGCTTGGAGATTGCAAAGCTACACAAAAACACTAAGCCAATTTTCTCTTGCTCATTATAACCAAAGGTTGAAAATATATTACCCTGTCAATATTTTTCTAGTCTCACCCCACAGACTTCACACACTAATGTGCAACATAACAATGCTTTGGTCAGAGATCATATATATGACAATAATCCCATAAGATTATAATAGAGATGAAACATTTCTATTGCCTAGTGATGTCCTAATGTCACAGGGCATTGGCTTGACCATGTTTGTGTTGATGCTGGTGTGAACAAACCTACTATGCTGCCTATCATATAAACAGATAGCACATACAATTATGTACAGTACATAACACTTGATAGTGATAATAAATGATTACGTTACTAGTTATACTTAAAACTGTTATTTTAGAGTGTACTTCTTCTACTTCTAATAAATGTTAACTGAAAAACAGCCTCAGACAGGTCTTACAAGGTCCAGAGAACACATTGTTATCATAGGAGATGATATTATAGGCAATGGCATGGGTTTCACTGCCCCTGAAGACCTTCCACTGGACAAGATGTGAAGGAGGAAGACAGTGATATTGATGATCCTGACCTTGTGTGCCCTAGGATAATATGCGTGCTTGTGTCTTCGGTTTTTAACAGAGAAAGGTTTGAAAAGTAAAAATAAAAAATTAAAGCAGAAAGAAGCTTTTAGAAAATATTTTTGTATAACTGTACAATGGGTTTGTGTTTAAAGCTAAGTGTTTTACAAGAGTCAAAAATATAAAAAAAAAAACCCAAAGTTAATAAGGTAAAAAAAGCTACAGTACACAAAGATTAATTTATTATTGAAGAAAGCAAGTATTTTTAATAAGCTTAGTGTAAGCTAAGTGTACAGTGTTTATGAAGTCTACAGTAATATACAGTAATGTCCTAGGCCTTTACGTTCACTCACTACACACTTACTGACTCACCCAGAGCAAATTTCAGTCCATTCATATTAAGTATGGATACATAGGCGTACTATTTTTACTGCATTTTTACTGAACCTTTTCTGTGTTTAGATATGTTTAGATACACAAATACTTACTATTGTATTATGATTGCCTACAATGTTCAGTACAGTAACATGTTGTACAGGTTTGTAGCCTAGTACAATTAGGCTATCCCATACAATGTAGGTGTATAGCAGACTGTACTCTCTAGGATTGTGTATGTGCACTCTACCATGTTCCCAAACATTACTGAATGGCATAAGAACAAATAGAGATAGATGCAAGATAGATTAGGTAGATAGATTAAAAAGATACCACGTTGGTGCAAAGGCAATTGAATTTTTTGCCATTGAAAGTGATAGATAGATGATAGATAGAGATAGATAGATAGATAGATAGATAGATAGATAGATAGATAGATAGATAATTATACCCTGAACTAAATACTTTACACATATAGAGTTTAAATTCACTAAAAAACAGTGTGTGTAGTGGTACTGTCCCTGGTTTGTGGCTATCACACTAACACACTAGTCAAGTCATTTTCAAATGATCTTGCTAAACCTCTAAAATGATGTAGACACTAGCCCCATCTTACAAATTCACCCCTCATTTGAGGAGCCAGAATATGCAGAAGAAGGACAAAAGTGTAACATTTTTGTTTGCTTCATTTGGTTGTTGTTTGCCTAGTGAGCTGCAAGTTTCTAGCAAGAGTGCAAGCTTTTCCCTTGGCACTGTAGGTGCTCAATGAATAATTAATCATCAAACGAAGAAGCTGCATTGGTTGCCAGGAGGTTAGCCACCAGGCATCAACTGCTATCATGCACTGGCTTGAGAGGAAAATATCTGGCTGACATGAAGTCAGGTAATTAATGAACTCTAAGAAATTTCTTTGAAGAAAAAGGTCTGCTGCTGGGATAATTCAATAATAATAAAAAGGAATTGAAGAAAAATATAACCTCTGCACTTTTTTCAACTTTTCGACAAGTGAGTTGCTAAAAGCCCATATGCTTATCATTCATAAATGCATTTCCAGACTTTATCACTTTCTCAAACTCCCTGATGCTCTTTTGGCAGTTTTATTCTTTTTGCCCCAACTGTAGCAGTTCACTGTTCTGGAGGAGTTTTGAGTTACTGTGTTTTTCTGAGATATTGATAATTTCCACCTAATACAGTGTACTCCTTGTAACTAGGAAAGGAAAATTGTGATGGGTCATCATCTTGTCTACGCGATTTCACTTGCAAAATTCCCTTAGTGCATAAATTACTTCAATTTCAAATGAGACAACATGAATACCACATTACAACCTGGTAAGTCATATGATATTCTAAATTAGGAGAACGGGGAACTCAAATAAAGGATATATAAGTTTGTCAGTATGTGGGTAGGTTGGAGAGGAAGGGGAAGAAGACAAACAGAGAAATAATATAGGTTAGAAATTCTGTTATTTGATTGGCATATTGGGTTGACTGTGTAGAAACATTAAAATGCATTGAAGATATAAAAAGGCTAGGCAAAAGAAAACTGCAATTGGATAATTCTCTTTATTATATAATCAGAAAATATAAAAAATGAGGCAGAAATATTGTTAAAGTATATTAAAGGGTGTCTGAAAAATCATTTTATCACCCAAAACTTTAGAATCTATTAGAGTCTTTGCTGGTCAGTTCTTATGAATCACAGTTTCATTTCATATTTCTTTCTTTCTTTCTTTCTTTTTGTCTCCCAACCAGATACATTTTGGTTCTCATTCAGGATAAAAGAAGAATAAAATCCATATGAACTATTCAAAATCTCCTTTTTGATCACGTTTTTCAGGATCTCCTCCTACCAATACGCTCTTTCCTTCATTCTTCTTTACATTTACTCCTCCGAGGTGTCATTTCTACAGGAAACTGAAAAGCAGGAACCTGGTTTTGAGATCTTTGATACGCTCAGTATGTGACTCCATTCCCAAAGTCCTTTGTTTCAACTGAAATCGTTTTAGTCTTTTATGCTTTTTGTTCATACTCCAGGCTCACATAAATAGAAATGCTTGACTACAAGATTTTGCATTCAATTTTTAGGTCGAAGGTTGAATCATCTTTCTTCTGAAAATGTCTAACTCAAAACTTTGCAAGTCATTTGAAAACCTGTTCTTTATTATTTTCTGTGACCCAAACAATTAACCAAGTCAGAGGGACAGATGAGGAAGAAGTAAGGAAATAGCGGGAATTTTTCCACAGAAATAATTTGTGAGTGCATTACTTTCTCTCTCTCTCTCTTCGCTACCAAATATCTATCTTAGAGAGTCTTAAAATTCATACATTATTTTACTTGAGTAAATGATAGAAAATAGTATAATAAAATTTAAGGTACATTTATGTCTTTACATATAAATAAACATTATCCTACTAAAGCAAGGATGTAAAAGAGATGACTCTTGCCTCTCTTTTGATCTAGAAAAAAATGATGCAGAGGCTACTGAGGCAGGAGAATAGTATCTGGAGTCAGGGAACGTAGGCAGCTGATACGTGTTGACTTCTTAAAGCTGAATCAAGGGAAAAAAAAAAAAACCATCAAGGTCCGGGGGCAAGGAATCTGAGGACAATTCGTGATAATTTCCTAAAGTTAAATCAAAGGGAAAACACCTGGGTTTGGGGTCAGAGAACCTAAAACCAATTAATGTGAACTTCCTAAAACTAAACCAAAAGGGAAAACCCTGTCTCCCCACGCCCCAGAAAGCAGGGATCAAAGGCTACTCTCTCTTACAACCCTCCCGCTTCCACGACGTCTCAGATGGAAAGGGAGTGTGCCTTGGATTGGGCAAGGGCCAAGCAAGGGCCACCCCTTCATCTGCATAGGGCGCCAATCTCCTTGGCCTTGGGTTAGCCATGGGCCAATCCCCTCAGTCTTTAATTGGCCACGGACCAAATCCTTTATCTAGATAAGGGTAACTGATAGGGGCCTCAAAAGGAGCACTTAAAACCCAGAAAACTTTGTCACTGGGCCCTTAATCTCCTGGCTCGTCCCTACTCCCACACTGTGAGTGCTTTCTTGCTTTAATAAATACCTGCTTTTGCTGCTTCATTTCTGTGTTTCTTTCCAAAGTAACAAATTTGTGCATTTCGTTCAATTCTTCGTTCAAAATGCCAAGAACCCGAACAACTCACTCAAGGCCTTCTTTCCCGTAACACCACCGTCATCTTATTTTGATGATGTTTATTGTTCAAAAATTCAAGTCTATGTCCTGATTAATGCTCTTAGGTTTCTCTGCCTAACTTCTAAAGGGTATTTGTCAGATTAACTTACACAATATTTTGTTCCAACTCTACTGTTTCATCGTAAGAACACTCCTAATGTGCCTGATGAATATCACTCTTGACATCAGTCAATATACTCCTTTATGTTGTTCTTTGAGGAAATAATGTTGAGAAAAATAATATCCAGGAAAGATCCCCTAAGAGTTTACTCTACATAGTTTAATTTCTCCCTTGCATATTTGATGTCAAAACAAAATACATTTTATAGAAATATCTGCCCACACAAATGATTCCAGTGATTTAGACATTGTCTCCAACTTTAACTCCTAACTGTGACGTATTATAGTCATACATGCTCCAATTGTGCAAATATTATGGCCACTATTTTGTGGAATATTTAAAAACCTGTACTAAATATTTTCCATCAAGACATTAATGAAAAGATAGATTAAAAACACAAATTAAAAAATAAAAGGGTGAGTGTTTGAAAACAATACAAAAGAACACAAAATCATCAAAGAGGTTTAGGAAAGTATTAAAATTACAAGAAATTAAAATAACCCATAGATTATCACAATTATAATCTTTTAAAATGACATGAGAGCCTGGACATGTACTTTTGAGGACGTAGTTGGAGCTTTTTCTTCAACAGTATCAAATGAAGCTTTTCTTCAATAGTGTCAAATGCGGCCACATGTGGTCCAAATGACTGCTAAATGAGTCAATATTTTTCCAATATCAGGAATTTTGCTGGCACTTGTTTTTCGATGAAAAGTAATTAGAGCTATAAGGAAAAACCTCCTTACCGGGCATTTGCTTCTACCTAAAAGCTTAATACAAATGTTTTCTGAATTACTTGAAAAGTATTGCTATAGCAAGACCCTGATCCTCGTGCAAAATCCATCCTGATGTCTGTTTTTGTAAAAAAAAGTTTTATTGAAGCTCGGCCACACCATGTTTACTATTGTCTATAATTGCTTTCACTTTGCAATGCAGGATTGAATAGTTGCAGCAGAGACCCTGTGGCCTGCAAAGCCTGAAATATTTACTCTCTGACCCTCTATAGAGAGGTGGCTGACCTGTCATACAGTCATCTGTTAGTCCACATGACTATTTTTAAAATTGGATCATTAGCTTTTGTCATTTCAATAGATTTAATTGTGTGCATGTTAGCATAGAAATGAAGAAGGTAAAGAAGGAAAAGAAATAGAATTTTATTGCTTTGGGACATTTCTGCTCATCACTAATTTCATGTTTACAATTACAAATCTCTGCTACTCTCTCAAAGACATGGTCCACATTTGAAATAAGCATGCTGCAATTAGATCTATTTGGAATTACTTTCACTAAAGGTTTGATATCTGATTCTAGAAATGGGGGTGAAGAGACAAAGGGCTAAGTCTAGACAAACTGCTTCTGTTTAATGCCATGCCAGATACTCACGTTCAGGGGCTTGACCTTTTTTCTTAGTGTCTCTCTGCTGTCTTTGGATCTCTCTCTCTCAGTCTCTCTCCCAGTCTCTTGTTTTCTTCCTGTGTTTTCCTCTTTCTGTGTCTGAATCTCTTAGTCTCTGCTTTTCTCTCTTTCTCCCATTCCCTTTATTTTTGCCCTTTTCTCTTGACGCCTTAATCTGCAGAAGTCACACAAATTCAATAGCTGCAGCTCTGCCCCTAAATTGTAACTTTCAATATTTTATTAGGAAACGAAATTGAGAGCTGCCTAATGATCCCAGGAGAAGACTCTCCCAATTTAACATAACCTCTAAACAACATTTGAGAGGCAATTTCCTAGGGCCACAGTGGAACAAGTATTGCAAAGCCACCGGTGCAGGGGTAGTTGAAAGTAATATGCATTTTGGTTCCTCCTCTTTGCTTTTAGCACAGCCATGGGTCCTGCAGACATTTGCTCCCGCTACTATGGGCTTCTCACTTTCATTTTTATTAAAAAACTAACAAGGAGCATTAAGCAGCTCCCTGTTTAATTTCCCATAGAAAAGCAATAGTTTCGAGCAGCCCACTGGTGGAGTGATATTTAAATGCAAAATGCACAGCTGTGCCAAATGTATGCGCCAGAGCAAAAAGGGTTTCTTAATATGACAGGTTAATATAATGGATTTTTATTTCATTTGCCACTGAAACAGCTAATCAGAGACAATTGGACTTGTGGAAGCAGAGGTGAAACTGGGTAGTTAGAGACAAAGGACACAGCTTGTCAACCTTGTGTGGGTTTAATATCATGGTAGTGGAGTGCTGCAGAGTTGACCAAAAGTTACCCCACCAGGGAAATTTGCACTGACCTGCCACACTTATCTAGGGCATTTAGAAGCTTCCAACACAGGATTCTAAGTGCGTCATAGTTCCACCAGCTACATACTCAGTCCCTGCCTCATTTCTACCTCAAGAAAACAAAAGTATTAGGCATTAGGCAAAATCTAGAAGCGATAATACAAAGGAAATCTTTTAGACTTCCTCTCAGTTTGATTTCATGAAAGCTATTTAAATCAGGTGGCGTATCACATGACCATGTCAGCCCATCCAAGCTTTATAGACAACAATTCCTTAATTATATTGTTAATAGACACAGCTCTTAAGCTCATCCTGTTTCTTTAGGCCAGATTTCCATAATGACCTTTCCTTTTCTTTAGTTCATAGCATACTCATCCTTGTGAAAAGCCAGATCATAAATCATCATGCTTTCTGATAGGAAATTTGGCAAAACCTCTCAATGGTCTTTGAGATCTTAGGTAAAAGTTGTAATTAAGATGTTCATAGAAGTGAGGCCTGTTTTTCCTCTTAAAGACCAAGGCTTTATCAAGAGATAAGTTTAAAAAAAGAAAGAAAAAAGTGACTTTTAATATCAAAATAAATACTGAAAAGTATGTTCTGACTTGTCTACTTTAGAATTTCTCCATTCATTGGCAGCTGGCTTTTCTGACATCAATATTTGAGTTCTAGCATTCAGTTTTTACAGTTCAGACCCATTGTTGTCTAGATGTCATTAGAATACATCTTGGAAATTTTGACAGATATATTTTAGTTTTTACAAAGTAAAAGAAAAGTCTAAGAAATTCAGCTGTAAAAGATGACCTGATCCACAAAGCGGGAGAAAGCAGAAAGTTTCACAGCAGTAGATAGAATGCCACAGAGTACAGAAAGATACATTTCCAATACGTGGTTTACTCATAGCTTAGGGAACACTTCCCTCGCTTTCAGATTAATTCATTTCTTCTCTTCCGTGGACAAGATTCATGAAGGAACTATTTTAGGATTGGAGTGAGGTTTTCAACAATAAATTGAAAATGGCCATTTACAAATGACTTCTTTCATATAAGTCCTGCTTCTTTAGCTAAGGCATAAAAGGTTAGCTTTCTAACATGGTCATGACAACAAAAATGAAAAGAAAGAAGGAAGGAAGGAAGGAAGGAAGGAAGGAAGGAAGGAAGGAAGGAAGGAAGGAAAATATATCTGTAGAAATAACCTGTTAAAGGATTGAACAAAGGGGAAAGAGGGAAAGGCTATTATATTTCCAGAGGAGATGGATCACTGTAGTTTTCCCAAGTAGAAACCTAACATATGAATGATCCTGAAGAGATGTTTCCATTTATTTTGGTTAAATGGTGCTAAGTCTGCATGATGTAGTACCTGAATACTTAGCCCAGGACATATGTGGATAACAATACTTGCTGGGATTTGGTGTCTACTTGATGCCTAGTATTATACTAAGTGCTTTGTAAAAAAAAACCTTAAACTCTTCTTACTGTTTGAGATCTTAGGTTAGCAAAGAGAATAGAGGGGGAATGATATTCAGATGTCAAGCCTTCTTTCTAAAATGTGGTTACTGCCAAGTTAAAGCTCTATTTCAGCTTTTTTATCTCACAATCTTGTCTACTGTTTCCTTGTTAGTGACTGTTCTTCCATCCTGTAAGTCCCAAAAACACATAATCTGAACACTGGTAAAATAGTCCTCGATTCAGCTCCATTTTCCAGCCTTCATTTTCCACAGTAGTGGATTTTCTAGATACATCTTCGACCTCGAAGTGCTGGAACTTTGAGCTTCTGGGATCAAAAAAGCACGGTTGATAATTTATTTAAGTTCTGAGTTTAAATAGTAATTTACAAATAAATGTGCTCCATTTCTCCTTTCATATTCTAGTTCTTCCTTTTTATCAATGACTGAAACAGGCTGGCCTTCAATTGACAGTGATGCAATCTGGGGATCCCACCCATGGGAACCACTGTGGGCTCTGGAGTAAAAGTCCATGGCAATTTCCAACCGATGGAAAAACTCAAAGGCCAGAAAGGAGTAGGAGATGACACAGTTAGCTGAGGTCCAGAAGGTGATGAAGACATAAAACTTACAGGATGGCTATAAATGTCAGTGTCTTAAATTCACTGTGCCTCCTATTAAAAAATATTAGTCTGATTATGTAAAAAAGCTTGCCAATGCCATGTTTTCTGAAATAAGGCTATTCTTTTTACTTGTTTCAGTTTATATCCTTGAACCTCCTCTGATACTTTTTTATTCCTCTAAATGACAATTTATGAAAACTGAATACACAGCTTTAAAATAGAAAGTGAAGCTATATACCCAGAAGCAGCCCCCATTGTAAGACTTATAAAAAAAAGTGAATATGAATGGAGTTAATTGTTCTGATTGAGCTGTGGACCCTAGAGCCATATATATAGTGCCAGCAAAATGACAGAATTCACATAGCTTCAAAGGTGTCCTAATGACATCTTTGGCTCCTAATGACATCTAAAGAAAATGTTAAACTCCCGCAGATGCCTGAAGGACAATGTTCCAGCAATTAATCAAAAAGAAAAGCCACAGGCCCTTCCCCTTCCCCCCGTACTCAATTTAAGCAGCCTTCATTTTCCACAGTAGAGGCTTTTCTAGATACATCTTAGACCTCAAAGTGCTGGAAAGGAAGCTCCTATTCAAAGGAAATTTATAACAAGATACCATAAATGATACTAATTTTTGTTCATTTGAAATATGTAAGTCATGCTGTAACAAATTATCCTGTCAAGTGTAACCAACTGTCCATGCAGTTGAGCTTCTGGGATCAAGAAAGTATATTTAAATTAATTCCCATCATTACTGGTGGGGGACATCCAACTCAACTGGGAAAAGACACATCATACAATCATATTGCTGCTGATGACATGGCGTGGGGTCCCTCTGCCTGCTTCCAATCCTACCTGCAACAGCCCTCTAGCCTGCGGGGGCTTGTTA